CCCTAAGAAACTGCAATAGGAATGATTTTTCTCAAGGTTCAGCCATTCCCAAGATCAGTCGTCACTCCTGCTACCTCTGCAGAGCTGATCTTTCCTAGCTGCATGTGCATGCTCCATAAGCCTCGGCACACAGTGTGCTAGCCCTGTGGCTTTAAAATGCAACAAATAAGGGAGTCAAAAAGCTTATTACGGCCGTGCCTTTACTTTGTACGGCTATATCCACTCTACCTGGAATGCATTAAAGCCAATGCATTGATGCTTATTGGGAATTTAATCTCTCCCTGCAGTGCTGTAGCCTCTGCTTTCGACTCCTTTTGCTATAAATACGGGCTCAGTAGGCCAAATCCTCATCCTCATTCATTTTACTTTATACTAGTCCCTCCGCATCAAGTGGACCTGAAGGGATGAGGGGCTGGCGGGTGGTGGATTCCCATCACATAGAGAGAAGACCAAAGGGATACAGTCAGTATAGATGACTCTCCCCCATTTATGCCCTGTGGAAAGAGGAATGCAACGGGAGCATCTTTGTGCTCCGGTGATCCCGGCTTGCGGGAAAAACCACTTGAGGAGATGGTCACCACCAAAGCCTCTCTGACCTGTATGGGGGAAAGATGGGGCAACCCGGACGCAGCGTCAACCAGTGCATTTGCCCCTATTCTCATACACGTTACCTGCCATAAAAAAATGTCACTCAGCCCTGTTACCACACACCTGCCTTCAAGGGGATGGACAGGGAAGGACCTGAACGGCTCAAGCCAGGGTAGCCGTGTATTGATGCTTTAGGAGAACCACAAGTGGCCAGTGCCTGGAAGCCAGCAGACAGCAATATTCCCCGTTATCCCCTGTGCCGTAGCCCACGCGGACGAGGTGGCACAGTCACATACCACTCTTCACTAAGGGCTGTGTCTTGGGAACACAATCTGCCCTTAAGTGACCACATAGGCAGGTGTAAAATTGGCTCAGCAGTTAAGCAGGCCTCTATTTTTTGCCGGCACAAACATGTTGAAATGCCTTCCCTTCTGTCAGATTGAACTGGTCTGTCACAGGAGACTGTAAGGGCCACAGGTCAAGGACGGTGTCTCCTCTTCTACTTTGCGCAGTGCTGGAGGGTGGCAACAGAGGTACCAGGGGGTACAGGTGAACCTGCAGACCTGCATAACCTGAACTCCAGCGACAGTGGGCAATAAAACCCCAATGAGCTGCCATGACTTGGAAATATAGGCACATATCATTACCATATATTGAAGTATTAAAGATTCACTCTGCTGCTGTTTGATAATCAGGGTGGGACTTCAATGATAAAAGTATGGCCTCAGCAAGATTTTCTTTGGTCAGTTTTAGTTAGACCATTTCTCTAACGCTGACAGTCACATAGTCACAGGGTTTAAAGCACATTACACTCACACCATCCTATGAAGAGAAAGACCCATTTCCTCAGTTTATCTGTGGAGTATGTCATCACGATTGCTGTGTGTAAATAGCAGCCTTCCACAAACATCCAGAAGAAGTTAGTCACCACAAAATAATTGTAGATCGTTGTAATACACCGGCACCAGGGCTGGAAAAGAAATACGAAAGAGCATTTTTAAAACATGGAATGAGAATTTCCAAAGCTCTGCTTTTGGGTTTGCTCTGGATGCAGCGCAATCAGTGGTAAAAACCCTACACATTTCCATGAGTGCAGTTGTGCTAATGCTAAGTGGATTGGGAAATCTATGTGCAAGTGTACAGAAGATGGCCATTCTCGATGGTCTGGGGTTCAGTGGCTGGGTGTGGGGCTCAGAGGCCCAGATTCAAAGGTAATGTGGAAAGCTGAGTACAAGCTACACGCTGGGTGCATCTACACGAGACATTTACTGTAGAGTTGCCTAATTAGCTGCACAGTAAAGTCTTAGCATCTACATGTGTGGGTGGCCTTGTTAGGCTGCGGTAAACTAATAAATGCCACCATAGGTTAGTACTTGTTAATACAAGTGCTAACCTGCAGCGGCATTATTTAGTGCACTGCAACACATGTAGATGCTGACGGGGCTGGTTGGCACGTGAGGGTGCTTCAGTGCGGGGGCTCACACTGGAGCACCATCATGCCCCATCTAGCCCCTTCACACCATGCTGACCCGGGTCAGAGCAGCCCTGGGCTGGCAGGCTGACCTCCTGGGTCCTCTGCCAGCTTGGGCTCAACATGCTGCAGTCCCAGATGCATATGAAGATGCCGCACCCAGGAGCAATACACTACAGCAGAGTTTATTCAGGCACCTTAATATCACATGCAGATATGCCCACTGAGAAGCTAGAAGAGAAAAAACTAGACCTTTATGTCTAACAACTAAATAATTTCTGCTGAAGGCAGGGAACGCCACTAGCACTTAACGAAGGATTTAATTTCCTCCTTGTCATACCCTTTTATTAGCTGCTTTGCCTGCCGTACCTCCGTCTCTGGCCTTTCAGTGTGTAAATCACATTGCTTTATACATTTCCCCTGAATTTAACTTCAACACCAGTAGGAATTACTGACCATACCAAATGACTCTGGAAAAGTAGTTTCCCGCTAGAGAAATCATAGGTATAGGAACAGAAAATTTGTTCTATTCAAGGAGGCCAGGAGTCCATCCTTCAAGGACATGATGCTTCTTCACAGGAAAGCAATCCTCTTCACACACAGAGAATATAATGATGACTGTAATTTCTACAATATAATAATGACAGTAATTTCTACAGTGCTACACATACCAGGTTGGGGACATTCCTTCCTGACCCAGCCCACAATCAGTATATTCTCTGGAGCATAAAGAATTGATTATCAAGATCTCAGCAGACATCATTACAGATGTTATCACTGGTCATATCCAGCACTTTAATTAACACAGCTAAAGCAGTTGACTCCTGATTGCTTAGCAAATGTCATCTGCGATTTCATTTTCACAAAGTACTGATGATGTCCACGCACACGACCGCCTGGCCAACAGAGGCATGATTAGAAGTAATCGCAAGTGTTTTCCCACCAAAGATTTATTTGACACAAAATGAATGCTGGGGTGTCGAACTGTTCCTGGATCAACTCTGACAGATAGCTTGAGTTAAAAAAAAATGGAGGGGGAAGAAAGGCAGAACTTTTCATTTTGTTCAAGATGTTTTGTATCAAAATTTAGCTTTATTGCTTTTTTTTTTTTTTTTACAGGGTATAAATCACCCCACTATAATATGAAAAGTTTCAGGCTGAACCAAAAGTTTAATTCCAACTGAAATAAGTTTGGTTGGTTGGTTGGTTTTTTCCTCCCGTTTCAAAGGAGTATGGGGAAAGTGGAGTACATTTTGTTTTAGGCCAGCATTAAACAAACATGTTTTTTCTGAAGTCTTGGTTCAACAACCAAACCAAAAAAATCACTTATTGCACAGCTTTGCTGTAACTACCTACCTCATGGGCTTGCTTGAATTTGATTAATTTAGAATAGTAAACTCAATTAGCAGAGCTCATTAATTCCTACCATTCCACTTATTTACACTGAGAATACCTGATCCCTGGACAATAAGCTCCATCATGATTGAGGTATTGTTAGTGATTCGGTCTTTTGGTTTTACTAACATAAGCAATATTAAAAAGCCTCATAAAAATGAGCATTGATTACTTTAGGTTTCTGCATCTAAATTATTTTAATTGCATACATCCCCCTGATCAATACAAAGAGAGGGTAGACTATTAATTGGTGTAAATTTGGTGCAGCACCATAGAATTCAGTGGAGTTACACTATTAGTAGGAGTAGTATCACAACTGATAATAATTATCCATATTATTATAATTAGATCATTCGTATTAATACTAATGATAACGAAGATAATACTACTACTAGTTGTCACCAGTAATCTCAAAGTGCTTCATGACAGAGGCAAATATCATTGTTCCAATATTATAGATGGGAAAATGTATTCAATAGAAAAATCTGACCTTCAGTTTATGATGTTCCTCTGTATTAACGGCCAGATTTTTAGAAGCATTTAGGTACCCAACTACTATTGACTTTATAGAGATGAGGTACCCTAAATACCTATAAAACTCTGTCCCTAAGTTTTACAGTATAAACACCAGAGAAAATAAAGCTGTGCAAATCAGCAGAGATCAGGCCTTTAAAACACTGCTCTGCTCTTTCTCTCTCAAAAAAAGCAGAAATTCAGGTGGACTTACCCACACATTTTTTATCTCAAATGCATTTGCTCTGAAAGACAACTTGTACAGAGTATCTAAAAGTATAGTTATTTCTTGTTTAAATATACATTGCTCCAAAGATTGATTTTTTGTTTTTGCTTTCTAACTATTGATGGCTTTATTGTTTCTTTGCCCAGGACAATGGTCTAAAGCACAGGCACAGAGACTGTCATTTGAAAAGTTTCTGGGGAAATCTACATGTCCAGGTCACATTAAAATGAAAAGGTGTCCAAATCTCCTAGGCAAGGTCACATTAAAATGAAAAGGTGGCCAAATCTCCTAGACAAAACTGAAACCTAAGGCATACACGGCAAATCTTCGGTGGGTCAATGATAATGCAGGTATAATGATTTAAACTAACTGCTAATCTGATGCTTATCTGAGTAGTTTGTGTCATCTATATCATCACAGAGGCCCCTGGCAGACATTACACTTAAGGCATGCTATACCAGCAAATATTCACTTGGCCACACTTTCAGGCAATTAAACAAGAAATGAACTACAACATTTTTCACCAAATATGTGTAATCATTTTGTGGCTGGTATCCATCATGCCTTAAAACATGGGTCCCGCCATGCAGCCAGAGGCTAGCCGAACTGTGGGGCTCTGGGACAAGCCTCAGGGTAGTCCCGAGGCTGAGACCCACAATCATCTGATTGCCTGTCTCGGCCCCAGGACCACACCAAAGCCTCGAACTGGCTCGAGTGCAGTCATGGGGCTGAGATAGACAATCAGCTGATTCTCAGGCCCAGCCTAGGGACCACGCCAAAGGAAATTCAACACTCCAGTGATGCCCCAAAAACAGTTCACCAGGCACCTGCTTTTCCCCAGTGCAGGGGAAATCTGGGATAAAGATCCTGAGCTCCGCATGAACTGGCAAGTAATAATGGTATGACTGGGATCCCAAAATCACATGTCCTGCCATGCACATGCGGCACAGGAAGAGGCACCACGGTTGGGATCAGGGAAAAGAGTCCAATTCTCCATTAACTGAGTGTGTGCCAGGGTCCAGAGAGGGAGAACTGTGTTTGTGGAGAGCTGGATATTTTGTGGGGTTTGTCGAGCAGGCACCGCTGTTCAGCTTTGTACCCCCAAGAGTAGCATTCACTTAACTATTATTTAATATTACACTGGATGGAAATGAGTGACAGCCATGATTTCCCTTTCCAAGAGAATTAATGAAGTGGTTTCTTTCTAAAGGCAAAATAAAGTCCAGCTATAATTTATAGTGCTGTTATTTTGCAATCGTTCCCATATTATTGATGCTGCTGGTTATGCAGAGCTGGGATGACTTATGAAGGAGGTAATTAAGATACATATATACAGCCTGATCCAGCATCTCTTACTCAGATTAGTGACTGAGTTAGAGAGCTGCTTGGGTGAATGGAGAGAGTAAACACCATGTGACTGCCATATATTGTGTCTCTGTTGGGGGAAAGGTTCAGGGAAATAATATTCTTTAAGGATGGGATTTTCTAAAGGGGCCTAAGGGACTCAGGATCACAAAGTCCTATTGAAATGCGACTTCTGCTCCTAATTCCTTTAGGCACTTCTTCAAATCCCACTTGATTTCAGAGGCAAATTCTCCTTCCCTTGCTCACACTGAATGGCACCTTCCTCCACCAAGAGTCCCATTGATTCTAATGGGTAAGTTACCTCTCGAACTAATTTACTGCGCAGTAAAGCATCACCATGTAACCGTGCGCATAAGCTACTGTTTAGTTTGCTGTGCAGTTAGCTAGTACTTGTAAATACAGGTACTAAACTACACTAACTGCACTGTACATCATCTGCAGCAGGGCTCATGTAGACGCTGACCAGGAGCAAATTTGCTCCCAGCATGGGGCCCAGCCTTGGCACAGCTCAACTGGGAGCTGGGAGCCAATCATTGTGGGGACCAGGTCCCTCTCTGCTCCTCCATCCCAGTGCTGTGGGGCTCCTGGCTCCCCATGGGAGTGGGGAGCTGAGCAGCACCAGGACTGGGGAGCTCTTCCTTCCCTGCTCAGTCAAGGGCTGGGGGTACCTGTCCCACTGGTGAGACAGGTGGCGGTGAGCCCCCAGCTGGGTGGGGAATCCTCCCCTCCCCCACTAGGAGCTTGCTGCCCCACTGGCTGACTGGGGTAG